TTTATAAGGAAATATTTTGTTTTTTTATATTTTATTTTATGTTAAAAATAAATATTTATTAATTTGTATACCGATTTTTTATTCCTAAATTAACATTTTTATGTATAATAATCCTATCTTTATCTTCAATCTAATCTGACTTATCCCACAAAATTTTCCAATTTTACTTTTTATGAAATAATGTCATACAACTTATGGTTTAAAGGTCAAATTGTTTATTTAATATTTTTAAATAAATATATATTATGTCGCAAATTTTTTTAGACAAATACATTTCAATTTCATATTATGACAGTGAGGCGTATTTGTCGCCTCCTGAAGAATTTTACGAATGTAGAATCCAACAAATTAGAACGTGGGTATCTGACATATTTGGAAATATTCTCAAAAGCTTTCTAGAAGCTCCATAAGAAACCTTCTAAGAACATTCCAAAAACGTATTCTTAAAATGTTCTTAGAATGCTCTTAGCAATAAGGGAAGGTTCTAAGAATATTCCATTATTCCGGGTCATATCTTCTTAGAAGATTCTTAGAATCAAATTTTGCTATCAGGGCCGGACCCTCCGAACCCGCGAAATGTAACAATTCCCGTTATTTTCTGAACACACCTCGTACTCGTATTTGGTAGGTACTTTAAACGCTAAGATGCATACCTACTAGGATTATGCTGTCGGGCTAGTTTAAATTCGTGTTGAAATCGAGTTGCAGTGGAGCGCACGGTTAAAGGCCAAAGGGTTCGTTCGAAACGAAGGAACGGGCAGGAGAGTTGCCAGTGGGTCGGTGGCCACAAAGAAAGAAAACGTCCTTATCCGCCGTGGAAAGAGTCGAAACGAGATTTCTATACGTGTACACGTATTTATGCGGCTTGATGCGGTGCACCCGCGGCCACGTCATTATCTATGCAGATGGGCCCTCGGGAACCCAACTCGGGACTCTTTGTCTATGTTGGCGCGCCCAGTACACGGCTAGGGCCGCGGGGCCCAGATCAATAGGTCACAACCTGGCATGCTTTTCAATTCTTTCGATGCCCTGGGCCCACTGCGGGGTTGTATGGAGCGCCCGAGGGCAGTGCCCGACTCTAATTTGAAATTTTAATGCCGGATTATCGTCGAATCTCTCCCATAACTCGCAAGAGCTGACAGGGTTTTGCGCTCCACAAAAGTTTTACATAAAACGAACGAAAATCATTCTGAACAGGTAATCAATACTTGAGGCCTGTCATAGCAAAACCGACAATCTCCACTTTTGGTCAAAAATTAGATTTTTGGCGGAGACTGTACTTCAACTAATTATCTATAAGATGATAAAGTTTATGTGCTGCAAAAGGACACAGCAAACGGAAAAATATAGAACTGTATTGAATCGTGCTTTGTTTTTATATTTTTCGGCTCTATACCTATACACGACTATATTTAAAGTCAAACTCAATGGTGTCTTACAAGATACATTATTTTGATTTTCTATATTCAACAGAGAGGTAGAAACTCGATCCTGTCGAATGGTGCAGTCATTTATGTCTCTAAAAATTATTAAAAAAGGGTTCAGTCCAATGGTGCAGCAACTTCGGATTCTTATTCTCTTCAGAGACATAGAAACTCAAGCTTTTCGAATTTTACTGGCAATGATTTTCGTTAATGTCCCCGAGAGTTATACAAAAACAGCGCAATGCAATATCGTAACGGTTTCGACTTCTCTTTACTCTACCAAGTTATAGAAACTGAAGTCTCTCTAATACTGTTCTAGTCAATATTTCTGAGAGTATAAAAAGAGGGTGTAATATTGCAAGAAGTTTTGATCTTTTGATGGATGCAAGTAGTTTGAATTTTCTCATTTCTGCATATGATTTTGTTGAAAATAGTTCCTTTCTTTGGTTCCTTTGTCTGATTTTTATTTACGGTAACAACTCAGGTATGTAAAGCACAGAGGATATGATGTTAAGTATATTTATGTATTATATAAAGTACCTATATTTGTATTAAAAATTTCAGAGGTTATGTTGAAAAAATGATCGATATGCTATTAAACTTTAATAATTTAGTAATTAGGTCTGTTGGTAGACCCTGCACTATCTCCACTGGTATATGTTAGTACAGCAATATTTAAATCTGGTTGATGAAAAAGTACATTATTAATTAATGGCCTATTAATGGCCCATTGGCAATTATTCCTCTAGGAAAAATATTCAACACAGCTTAATTAATTAATAAAATGAAAAAAATCACAATCATGTCGTATATAGTTTTTTTTAAGCATAAAATAATTTTTATATTACTTAATACTAGTTCAAAAGTGAAATTACGACCTCTATACTGTGGAGAGTATTGAAACGCTCGACTGACGAATACAACTCTATACCGTGGCGAGGTTAGAAAACTGTATTCAAACGTGGCGTCATCCAATACACTTCTATATTTTTCCGTTTGCTGTGGACCTAAATCCTGTCTAAAATCCTATTTTAAAAATGACATTTAGTGCAAAGTCGACAATCTCCACTGATAGATTTGCAGCAAAGTATACAATCTCCAATTCCACCATTAGAAATTAGTAATTTGTGTCACCTGATATCCTAACATTTGATGTTATAACTCAAGGATTTTACACATCCTTTTACAAATCCTTGGTTATAACGTATTTTATAAAATAGATTTAATTTTGTGTTTTTTTACTGGTACATACTGTTAAGTTCCATTGCAGTAAATTGCACATAAAAATATATTTAAAATAGGTATATATACGTTTTATTGTTTTAAGAATTATAAAAAAAATTGTCTTGTTTATTTTGTGCTATTATACCATAATAAGACGTAAAGGTAAAGCAAGAAAAGGCTGATAATGTCAAAACATTGCAAGTAAAACATTACGGGGCAAAGGGAGGAAGATGATGAGTTGTTGTACTATAAAAACTTTTTTGCACGAGGCAACCTGGTCCCAGATTTAGAAGAAACTCCAGATTTATGTGGCCCAGTTCAGAATTTTCCCACATTGATTGTATAGTTAAATTTTATAACCATTAAAGGAAAAAAATACAATTATTTTTTTGTTTATTTTTCTAAATCTCCTTAAACGTTTACAACAAAATGAGCATTCTTCAGCAATTCATATCAAAGTCAGCAATCTCCAATTTATAATTATAGATTTCACCTATACTATGCATCCTGGAGACCTTGTAGTTTGCTACTAGACTAACAACAACAATATTTCAATATAACATATAAAAAAAATTACAAATCTAGAATTTAAAATACCAAAATCAATTATCTCAATTTACTCAGTTTTAGTCTGACGGGAGATTGTTGACTGCTCTGACAGGCCTCACTTACCCTACCCTACCCAACCACCAAATAAAACCAACTAGTAATTAGTAATTATTTATTGCAAACTCGCATAATTTACAGCAAAAAATGCTTGATCCACCAACCAACAGTTCAGCATCACAGTCACTGCATATTCAGTGGTCGAATCAAAAACAATTTTGACTATTAAACAATAAAAATTACTCCGAGATCTATGGCACGCCGTTTTAACATTTATCAAATATTTTTTTAATTTAAAATTTTCCTAGCCATTTATAAATTTAAAATATGTTCAACTATCATCTATTAAAATACAAAATTTACAACAGTTCACTTCTGTATTAAAATAGTTATTTATGTATCAAGGCAGTAAAGTCTTATTTTTATCACGAATGTGGAAATTATTTGCAGAGTGATAAAAAATTACTTTAATGCCGAGGTGCATATTAAATTTTATCCGAAATCACATTTAATAATACTAATAATTAATACTGATGATCAAATCAAATGTCATTTGATACTGTTTGTTGCGACGGTTATGATATATTTGCCCGCCGCGGCGATTTTTTAATCTAATTAATAAAATTAACTAATTATTTTTATTAAACAACATTTTATGAAAGGGTTCAATTGACCTCCGCGACGGTGCTTTTTTTTAAAATATTATTTAGTTGCTGCTGAGTAGCAGTTGACACATATTAAAATGTATAATGGGTTGCATACAATACTCGTATTAAATCGGCAGTAAAGTTCTACTTCACTGCCGATTTCTTTTACTTGATTGTCGAATGTTGACTACTTTACTGCCGATTTCGGATAAAAATAATTTATTGTGGCAGAATTTAGTAAATCTTAAATAATTATTTTAGTATTTAAAAATAGTGCCAAACATTTAAAATAAAAACACATATAAATCTTTTTCTACCAAAATAATTTAAAAAGTTAAATTTTTATAAACTCAAAACAATCAAAAAATATTTTAAATATAAAATGCGAAAGTAAAAGTTTAAGTTTAAAATATTGTACTCCCACCTTTAAAACTCCCATTATCGTACATGTTTCCATGACACTAAGTGACCTGTTAAATACACATTGAAAAGTTGTGGCTTTAAGGCGTTTTAGTCACGGGCTGAAGTTAGCAACAGGTTTTTAGTCACGGGCTGAAGTTAGTTTTAATTTAGTTAAAAGTTGTCAAATGTCACAATCGTTAGTGCCTTTCTTGTAATATAATAGAAAATGTTAAAATTATTTTATTATCTCAATACAAAAATACAAAAGTATTAAATAGTTTCTTAACGAAAACATTTTCTTTACTTTCACTGTGAAAAACTGTTGTTAATAATTATTTGTCGTAGAAAAAGTATAGTATGCACCTCGTTTATAAACTTTTCTAGACACTCATTAATTTAAACTAAACTAATTTAATTTCTTCCAAAAATGGTGTTTATCAAACTTGATACATAATATACTTTATCTATTTTGCGTTCGTAATGACTTCATTATAACACCGCTTTCGGTGCTGTAATGAGATACTTAATCCCACCCAAAATTTTGGTTTTATAGGTTGGCTATACTATAAACAGCATAATATTTTGCATATTGGTTATAATATTTTTATGATTTTTCTAGTACTTACGAGATTTTTCTGGCAATAAATTTTTTTTAACACCAAAGAAAATCCTTTTATTCTTCTTTAACATTAACAGTCGCTTATTGTAAATAAGTAAATTAAGGACGGCATGGCGTATATATACTAATAAGAATCAATATTTTTAAGATTAATGTTTTACAGTTGTAAATTTCTTTAAAGTGCTAAACTTTAATCTTTAAACAATTATCTAATAAATGCTAAAGAGGCGTGCCATAGAGATCAACCAACTGACTGTGAAAATAATAATATAAATGTTATATACAATAGCATTAAATCAACTGGCAATATAACAATCGAGTAAACTTCCGAGATAAAAGCGTACATTTTTGCAGACATCGCATCAACAAGTTGCATCGTCTGCAACGGCAAATTTATCTAAAAACTTAACATACAAACTCGCGATTGTCCTTGAGAAACCCGAGATCGGCATCAGCCCGGAAGAATCTTCCTTATGAATAGGTACTCGGAAAACTGCTGGCCCTCCACTCCGCCCCCGTTACTGGCAGCGATGTGGAACCCCGCGTTCAGCAGTCTGGTGACCACCTGCATTGAATTCAGCTTGCAGTAGCCGTTGAGAGGGAACCTGATCACGTGGTGGGCATCCTGCTGGTTCCAGGCCACCCCCGACCTGGCGTCCATGACCGCTTGGTTGGTCTCGGGGAACACCTCATCCAGAAGCGATCTGTTGCCTGACAGCATTATTCTCTCGCCCAGGTCAGGGCTGACGTGCAGGGCCACGCATTCGAACAGCTCCTGTCCCAGCTGCCTGGAGTGCTCGGTCGAGCGTGACCGGCCCATCTGACCGCCGGAAAGGGATTTCATGCAGCTTGAGGATACGACGGCGCCGTTCTTGATGCGATCCTTCTTCAGCTGCTCCAGCTGCCTGATCATCGCTGGAAAGAAGAAAGAATGATTTAGCATTAAACAGAGCTGGGAAAGTTACTTTTGAAAAGTATCTAGTTACTTTTCTAAGATACTTTAAACAAAATAACATAGTTTCCTCTGTTGCTAAGAAAAAGTATCTAAGATACTATCCGAAAGTATCTAAGATACTTTCTGGGTTCTCTCATAAAATTTCTGTAAATTCGTAAATCTATATCTTACGATGATCTGTAACTATAATGCTTATAGAATCGTAAAAGTGGCAATTCTGGGATGTTATCTGTAAATGTCTAATTTAAAGTAGTATAAAGGAACTACTGCAACTTCACGCCTATTACTTACGATCAGCTTAACCTATATTTTTAAATGTATTATTTGGTTTATCCACAGTTTATCGGTTTTCATTTATGTATCAGCATATAATATAATACAAAAAGTAAGAAATTTAAACTGGTTGAGGAATAAAATGAGATAAGATAATTTTACATTTAAAAGAACATATAATATATAATGAATAAAATTGTTAGTGCGTTGAGTGAAGAAGTCAATCAATGGTTATGGTTAGTGGTAACGCAAAAGCAACAAAGAGAAAAAGATAAAAAAACACCACTCCTCAACAGTTGAACTATATTTGGATGCAATGGATGGAGATTATCCATTGGGCCAACCATGGCAGGATAACTTTGAACAAGGAGCAGAAAATCAAAAAAAAACATTTTGAGCTTATTAAAAACTATTTAGAAAATTATATAAAGCTGAAAGAAGAACAATTAGGATTTGAAATGAAAAAAATTAAATTTTTAAATCCAAATTTTGATATTTGACCTAGTAATTTTTAACTAATTAGAATATTTATTTATTTTGTTATTTTTTTTTTTTGACCGAGTAGGCTGTGGTTTATTTTTTTAAGAATATTATTTTAATTTATTTTCATATGTAAAATAAAAATATAAAGTTTTTGTATTAATACCTACAATTATTGTTTTATTTAGTCAAAATTGAAATTATTTCTAATGTATTTAGTTGGTCCAGGCTGCTTGTCCCAATTGATAAATATTACCATTATCATATCCACATTGACATTAAAAATATTCATGTTTTTAATCTTTAAAATAGCTTTACATAACCTAACAAAAACAAACTGTAACTAGCAACGATTGGGAAACACCCGATCGTAAATATTTACGATTCTATAAGATTTTCTGTAAGCTACAGGAAGCGCAGAATTGCAAATTGTCTATAAGCTTATAGAAAGTTACAGATTTGCTTATAGATGCTTACAGATGTGCGCAGAATTGACCTATAAGATACTTTTGAGTAACTAAGTTACTTTTAAGTACGAATAAAAACTATAAAATTATGAAAATTCAACAAGTTGTAGGTTATGTAATTACTTTGAATCATTCTGTAATTTCCCCAATTTTCTCTAAGAAAAGTAACGACGCGTCGTTGCGTTTAGACACAAATAATGAGATCGTCGCGACCGTTGTTGCTAACATAGGGAACGTTGTTACATTTTTGAAAAATTATGCAAATGCTCACCTCCTCACCCGTTCTCCAAAAGAAATTTTGTAATCAAAGAAAATGAATACATACAAAAAATTTATGATAATCTAGATTTATATATTTTGTTGTAAACGAGCTATTTTTTTAATAAATAAAAACTTTTAATTAATTTTTTTACCTTTCTAAATCACAAATCATTATGTTATTATTCTTTTTATAGTTGCTAAGAACAACGGCCCCTATAAAAATAACGACGGTCCCTCTAATAATAATACAATTGTTACTAATCAAATGTATGTACAAGTCTCTTGGATTTCATCTTTGATTAGAAAATGAAGAATAACTATGACAATTTTTTCATATTTTAATAAGTTTTTTTAATTTATTACACTATAGTACTATGATTATTCGAATTACTAACATTGAGTACGCCCACCCAAAGATAATAAACCCCATTTGCGCCCACCTATATTACCTAATTTTGGGCTGCTGCAGGATGTCTAGGATTAGAAATAAATGCGTAATAAAATGCTCTGCCCAATTATCTCAAAATGTTTTTCGTTAATATTTTGATTATTTATTAAATTATTTTGCCTTAAATCTATTTTGGATGTTCAGTATATTTTTGACGTTTTTTGTCAAAAATATACAGGGACTCCATACAAAGTCATCGGTAGATAAATGTCAAAAAGAATTTTTTTTTGTTTCATTGTAGCCGCATACTATTGTAGTATTAAATACCAAAACTAAAATTATAATGTTTTTTTGGTTAAAAAGTATCATTTTTTAAAATTTTTGTGTCGTGTTTTTAATTACCTAATTAAATTGAAAAAGCAACAAAGTAAATAGGTTTCGGTATAAACATTACTCTTTGACTATTATTTGATATTTTTTTATTCACAACATGCCTAAAGTACCCAAAAATTCAATCTCCAATCTTATTTATTAAGTCTTTACGTACATTATCGTTCAAGCACATTAAAGTGCATCTATTAATTTTTAAAATTTAAACTTTAAATTGTATTTTTACTTGAAAGTGTTTTTAAGAACCAAAAATGAAAAAAGAGCAGGAAATGGAAGTGGCAGAGAAAGAGAAAGGAGATGAAACTTAATGTCGTTGTTGTAAATTTGTTTTGTTTTTGTTGCGGTACCTTTACGCCCAAGAAAAACCAACGCAATATTTCGTTACAAAATTTTATGAGATATATCTACTACTTTAATTTTGCAGGAATATTAAATGGACCTTATATACGACGTTTAATGAAAGATCATTTAAAAATGCTCTCAAAGTTGACGAGCGTATCGCATATGGCAGTGTTAAAGCTGTCATTGAACATGTTCTTGGTTCATATCGGGCCCAAAATTGGCGCCAATTCATTGAAAAAATAAACTCCGTTTTGTAAAGAATTAGCGTTAATATGTCATTTAAAATACATTTTCTTTTTTTTTCATGCTGATAAATTTGCCAAACTGATGAACATGGAGAACGATTTTACCAAGTAACTGCAAATCTAGAGCATTGGTAGATATCTATGGGTATAGCGGAAAGAAGTTAAATTCATTGCTGGAAGACATTTGCTGGAATTTGCAGCAAAAGATGTACGACGATGATGAGGATTAAGTACAATAATACCTACTATAATTCAATTCGGTATTTGATACGATTTAATAAATTTAAAGTAGAAAAAAGCAAAATTACGCAATGCATTAAATTTTGTGAGCCAAAACTTGTTTACTTTGTTGCCCTTTCAATTCAATAATTAAAATAAACGACAAAAAATGTGTGTATTTTAAATCCTAGACGTCCTAGAGAAAAACAAATGACATTTTTTAAATAAGCGGCCCAAAATTAGTTAAACTAAGCTGGAGTACTCAATGTTAGGAAAAAAAAGTTTGTAAAACTATCATAATTTTAAAACCAATTTATACCATTATTAAATTTTATCCCTTACACAGAAGCAATAACACAAAACCAGTTTTTTAATTGCGTCATTATTAACAGATTAGGCGAGGAGGCTTCTTGCGTGCCGCTGCAAGAACAAACACACCGTCCATAAATTTCTAACATTAATAAGTTAATTATATACGACGTACGCATTATATCGTTACTGAGATGGGTACAGCAAAGAGAAGCGCAACCCATACGGCAGCCGGTAAATGTGTGTGTTCTGGGATTCTGTATCTCGCCAGTGAGCAACAAACGCATTATGAACCGTTTACACCGTATCATTACGCTAAGCAAGTTTGCGCTCACACTTTATTAGTGGATGAAAACCGACCAATAATTATTCAATTTATTATATTCAGGACAATTTTGACTTAAGTTTAGTCAAATGGATGGTGTAGAGGGGTGACGTTCACAATATCGAAATTCATTATATCGAATTCAAAATATCGAACACTTTTTATCGAAAATCAAAATATCGAAAATACAAAATGTCGAAAATCAAAATATCGAAAATTAAAATGTCGAAAATGATAATATCGAAAATTAAAATGTCGATTTGAAAATGTCGAATAATTAAAATTTCGAAAATTAAAATGTCGAAAATGATAATATCGAAAATTAAAATGTCGATTTGAAAATGACGAATAATTAAAATTTCGAAAATTAAAATATCGATTTAAAAATATCGAAAATTAAAATGTATGATTAAAATCGAAGTGTATATGTACAGAGGCGCCTCTGTAGATAAAGTTACGGTTATGCACCGAATTATCTTGGCTCCCTGGCTCCTAGAGATGCGCGTTTTATAGAAATGTACTCAAACTCAACAACACAACCCAACCGACCCCGCCCCATTGGCCCCCCCCGCCCCATTGAGCAAAAAACCCAACTAAAATGGGCAAATTCATGTTACGATAAAAATAAAACACTTTTTAATTACATAAATTAGCCCATTTTAGTTGGGTTTTTTGCTCAATGGGGCGGGGGGGGGGGCAATGGGGCGGGGTCGGTTGGGTTGTGTTGTTGAGTTTGAGTACATTTTTATATCAGAGGCGCCTCTGTACATATACACTTCGGATTAAAATAATATGTCGATTAATTGAAATATTTAAAAAGCCTACTTCTACAGCTATATATTTTGTGTTAGCAAAAATAAAATTTGTTGATTACCATATATATACAAACCCAGACTCCATATTATGGAGTTTGGGTTTGTGTTGTTTTTTTCTGTGAAAAATAGGGAAGTAGATCATTGAACGCGAAATTGAACGACCATTTAATATTATACAATTTGACAAATATGCTAAATAAGAATTTTTTTCCACCCGGTGTACGTTTAATGGCGATACTCCCGGTGTACTTCTAGTCACTTTGTAATTTTTAATATTCAGTAATTTCGATATTTTATATGTCCATATTATTATAATCGATATTTTAAGCAGTCGATATTTTATTTTCGATAAATTGAAAGTTCGATTAAATAAAATTTCGACATTTTGTATTTTCGACATTTTAATTTTCGACATTTTGTATTTTCGATATTTTGATTTTCGATAAAAAGTGTTCGATATTTTGAATTCGATAAAGTGAATTTCGATATTATGAACGTCGATATTTTATTTTCGATAAATTGAAAATTCGATTAAATAAAATTTCGATATTATCATTTTCGACATTTTAATTTTCGATATTTTGATTTTCGACATTTTGTATTTTCGATATTTTGATTTTCGATAAAAAGTGTTCGATATTTTGAATTCGATAAAGTGAATTTCGATATTATGAACGTCACCCGGTGTAGAGGAAAGGATTACAATGGGGTAGTTAAATTTTTTCTGACCTATACTTTTTATGGTTTTATTTAAGGCGTTTTGTAATTTTAAACATTTCTGTGAAATCGGAATTTCAATTGAGTTTACCGTTTTCGAGATATTTACAACAAAAATCTCCTAATTACGTCACTAGGCTATTGACAACCTTGCCAGCTTTTTCTATTGTTGCCAGTGTGTTTAGTTTAAGATTCTTACGATAGATGGCGCCACGTTATAATATTTTAGTTTTAAAACCACTTGATCTATAATTTTAGTTGAGAAGAAGAAGAATTGATTTTTTGAAGTTTCTTTTTTTTCGGGTTATGTTTTTTTTAAATTTAGATTATTGAAAATCAATGTTATTGTTATGTTATTTGTAATTGATATTAGATAAGTGATTTATTAATAACGGACTCCAAAGCAGAGGAATCTTGTGGAAAGGTTGGTTACATTGAATATTGGATCTTTTAAACAAATAAAGTAAGTACATACCTATACCTAATTATAATCATATTTTGTCGTAAATGCATTTCATTAGTATAATGCCTAGTTCTTTATATTCTTTTAGATATATCTTGGACTCTAAAATATCAAACAGTAATAATATTATGATACCTCGTAATAAGGAAGATAGGTACTTAATGAATTTGGTGACCATCTTTCACTCAACTGACAGTGACAGTATTTGTACATAACCTCTTCGGGTATTTTCTGACATAACCGAATGAAATCATTAACAAGACAACTTGACAACAGGGTAATTTTCAACCAATAGAAATCTTAGAATGTTAGTCACATGGCGAGGTTTGTTACGTCATAAAAATTTATATTTTTTGTAAATATCTCGAAAACGGTAAACTAATTGAAATTCTGATTTCACAGAAATGTTTAATATTACAAAACGCCTTGAATAAAACCATAAAAAGTATAGGTCAGAAAAAATTTAACTACCCCATTGTTGGACTACCAGGGTAGGAGGTAAACATATATGTTTACACGTAAACGTTAGTTAATATCAAACCCAGCAATTTTCATATGAGTAACATTTTCTGAAATTAAGAAATACGCTATTTTGAAAAAAAATGTACCTACTTATAAACCCTTGGATAATAATTGCTAATAAAAACTATTAGATATTAGCCCCTTAAGTTGACACCCCAAGTAGCAAAAGGGTTTTATTGTAGCTCTACTTTGTGCTAGTTGGTCTTGAGATAATGAAGCTTTATGATTAGGCTTTATGAGCGACTTTAAAGTAAAGTATTAAAGCCTTTTTGAAGTTATAACCGTTTGATCTTAACATTGATTTATTACTGTTAACCAATAATGCTTTTTTAGGGAAACTTGCCCCTAAGAAACGCCTATAGTCCAATAAACTTTGTGAAGGTTTATCAGATGCCTATTGGTTTTAATGGTACTCGAAAAGTTTGCTTTAATGCATCTTTTATAGCCGACTCATAGGAGCATTTGGTCTTAGGACTACTTTTCCTCTATATATGTAAGAATGTTACAGAACCAAACAGTAAAAAGGTTTTATGATTGTTCCTAGTAAAGAAGCAATGCGTCTTTAATATAACCAATTTGCTTTCCAATTTTTAAATTTGCATGAGTGTAAACCATTTTGTTGCTATTATTTCTTTATTAAATCGGTTATGTCTTGATAATCGCGACGAAAATAACTCTTGTCAACATGTCGTCGCCATGCATGAGGAGTTTTTTTAGAGCAGTGGTTAAAAGTTAAAAAAAGTGGAAATTTTTATAGAAAAACTGGCTCCTGTAAGAGCTGTTAAAAGTTGTTCTTCTGTGTTGTTGGCAAAACATCCGGTTGATAATACTCATTGTATTCCTTCAACGTCCTGTTCCAACCAAGAGCTAAATCCGCATCATTCTATCACAGCAATTAAGAAAATTTTTAGGTGTTATCATCTGACAAAGCATTATAGCCCTGATGGCGATACTTTTGATGAAAATACTGCAAAGTTGTTTTAAAATGCTCGCATAAAATTCCAACTGGTTTTATGGTTGCCTTGAAAAATGCAGTCATAGGGCTTAATAGTTTTAACAAATAGTTGTAAACACTTTTTAAAGCAGTTGTTTGGAAGAGTACTTTGTTTTATAACTGAAACGCCCATTTAAATATTGCTCTGCCATGATAAAATAATTTTAATATAAAATACGAATAGATAATATTTTTCAGAAAATTTCAAAAAATTGGTTTTTACGAGCATGCTAATGCTAGAGAATATTTTTTCGATAAGAGATGGCTTAAAAAACGGAATGTAGGTCGGGTAAGTAATTTAGCCTTTAAAATTGTTTAAATTAAGCCCATTTCAGTGGGCATCATACGTTTTGTGTCTCGGCAATCAACTTTTATCAGAAAAGTGGTATTTGTTTATGATTTTTGCATCCGAAAGTTATTGGTTGACAAAAGATAATAATTTTCTTATAAAGTTTTTAAAATCAGTAATGGCCTATGCTTGTGATTCATAAGGCAACAATATACCAAACAAATATTTGATTAAAGCAATATGGAATTTACAAAGTACAACAATAAAGTAAAAAGGTACAAATGTCAGCTAAAATGTGTTTACGACAAAAGCACACTACCTCCTTAAAACCTGAGGCCTGTCATAGCAAAACCGACAATCTCCACTTTTGGTCAAAAATTAGATTTTTGACTTTTATTTCAACTAATTATCTATAAGATGATAAAGTTTATGTGCTGCAAAAGAAGCTAAATCCTGCCTAAAATCCTATTTTAAAAATGACATTTAGTGCAAAGTCGACTGATTTGCAGCAAAGTATACAATCTCCAATTCCACCATTAGAAATTAGTAATTTGTGTCACCTGATATACTAACATTTTAGAGATTTAATTTTGTGTTTTTTTACTGGTATATACTGTTAAGTTCTATTGCAGTAAATTGCACTTAAAAATATATTTAAAATAGGTAAATCTACGTTTTATTGTTTTAAGAATTATAAAAAAAGTTATCTTGTTTATTTTGTGCTATTATGCCATAATAAGACGAAAAGGTAAAGCAAGAAAAGGCTGATAATGTCAAAACATTGCGAGTAAAACATTACGGGGCAAAGTGGGAAGGAGATAATGAGTTGTACTATAAAATTTTTTTTTGCACGAGGCAACCTGGTCCCAGATTTAGAAGAAACTCCAGATTTATGTGGTCCAGTTCAGAATTTTCCCACATTGATTGTGTAGTTAAATTTTATAACCATTAAAGGGAGAAAAATACAATTATTTTTTTGTTTATTTTTCTAAATCTCCTTAAACGTTTACAACAAAATGAGCAATCTCCAGCAATTTATATCAAAGTCAGCAATCTCCAATTTATAATTATAGATTTCACCTATACTATCCTGGAGACCTTGTAGCTGGCTACTAGACTAACAACAACAATATTTCAATATAATAAATAAAAAAAAATTACAAATCTAGAATTTAAAATACCAAAATCAATTATCTCAATTTACTCAGTTTTAGTCTTTAATATACAAAGAGAATAGATCATAGGCCAAAAATAAACGTGTTTATTTATTTAGAAACTACATAATAAGGCAATATAATATTCCTCTGCGATATTACGTGTGGACTTGGGGCGAAACTGAAATTGCAAATTGGGGTGATTAGGGAGCGGCACAAAGGTGATCAAACTTACGGGCAATGTCAAAGTAGCGCGCTTCTTCCAACAACAGGTCCAGGTCAGTGAAGTCGTCCGGAATTAGCAGTCGAGAGTTCCGCATAAAGTTCAAAATGTGCCGAAACATGCCGCCGTCTCTGTCGATGAAATAATGCTGCTTGAGCGAGTCGAGCACTATGGGGATGCTGCCGTTGAACAGCTTGGCTAATCGGGACTCTGGGTATCTAAAAAAGAGGAGAATAAATTTACTTTGCGCGAAAAAAAAGAGCGTTTAAATGCATTACTATCATTAGCATTTTGATCGGTTTTGGTGGTGTTAGGGTTTTCCTCGTTGGGAGTGCCCCTAACACGGGCGTTCAGGCTGCGAATCAAAGGAATATTTTTAGGATCGAACATGGAAGAGGCTTCCGGCTCCTTTTCCTCTTTTTCGGCCGCTTCCGGCTCTTTTCGATCTTCTTCGGGCGAGGCGGCACCTTCGTCTGTTATGTTGCTTATATTATCCCGCAATTTATTTTCGAACTGAGCGATCTTTTGGTCTAAATTAGCCTCGGAATCGGAATTCGATACGAAGTTGGAGGAATTGAAAAGGACCGCGTTATCGACGTCGCTTTGTGGCGGCGCCTGTGGCTCATTACTCTCCTGGTCCACGTTATAAGTTGTAGGGACCGTCGTGTACATACTGGGTATTGTCTCGGAAGTCGGCATAGTATTACTGTTCGTGTTGAGTTGACTTGTAATGTTTTCAGGAACAAACAGTGGGAAATTTAACTGAGAAGGGTATGCATTACCATCGTTTTCAATCACGGAAGTTTCGGTTGTCTGCACGTTGTCAATCTTCTGGGAGGTATTATCCATCTGCATCAGGTTATTCTTCTGGCCGGTTAAATCGTTCAGCGAGCTAACATCACTAGTTCTATCGACATCAGTTAAAAGGGTGCCAAAATGCATGTTGCTGGGTATAATATTTTTCAGTGGCATTGTAGGGTCCTCCTGAGCCGACCCTGTACGACTCAAATTGGACTTGGACCCCTTACTCTTCTGCAAATCTTTCTGCAGTTTGGCCTTTTGCTCGTCAAGCTCCAATATTTTTAGGTGCAACTTTAAGCTCTCCTGCGAGAACTGCTTATCCGGTTCATTATCGGTCAACTGGTGTAAGTTGTTCAACTCGCTCATCAACTTTTGCTTCTCCCTCTCCAAATCCCCGATGATTTTGATTAAGTCCGAATTCGCCTCGTTCAGTCTGTACACCCCTGCTATCAACCGCTTGCAGTTCAATAAGGTTTCACTTAGCTGCGATCTCAAGTCTAAATTGTCCCTTTCCAGGGTGTTCAGTCTTTCCAGAACTTCCGGCGGCTGACCGCTCACCTCCACCACTGTGTGCAGCTCGTTTTCCACGTGCGACTTTTCCTTTTCCAAGTCTTCGATGGTTCGCTGGATGATTGGAGCGTCAGTGTTTACGTTCATCGAGCTCGTTTTCTCCTTGTCAATCAACTCGACGGCCGATTGCAGCAAATTTCGGAATTTGTTGTTTTGCGATTCCAGCTGGATGATGCGCTTTCTGGCCATGAGTTGGTCGTTCATTTTTTAGGTTTTTTTGTTGCTTTTTTAACACTGATAATTTGGAATTATTTTTATGACAGGATGATTTATGAGTGACAAGTTGATTTCATAAGCATTTTGATGTTTTTAAAATTATTATTTTTTTATTTACTACTACCTAAAGCAACAACAACATTTTATTTTTTAAGTCTTTAATTAAAATTTAAATTGTTAATCTCTTAAATTAATTTTAGCATGTATAAAGTTAAAATTGCTCGAAGTGTCATGAATTTAAATTTGGGATTTGCATTTAACTTTAATTAAAAATCCCGATAAAGTTTAAGTGTCAAACCACCAATCCAAACAATAAAAATAAACGTTATAAATTTTGTGAAAACTATTTAATAAATGTCAGAACTTATACCTTCACATAGTGGCAAAATTAGGTCGCTTCAGCTGCAAAATGCCAATTTCAAACGACTTTTAGAGTTAGCTCAAAAATTCACAATGAAAAACTCCGATTGCATAACGCAATTACAGGATGAATCTAAATTTATTCAGCAAGCCATATTGTTTTTGGACTATGAAAAAGAGCACATACAAAGAGAAAACAACTTAATGAGCGATGAAATATTTTCTATCGAAGAAAATAATAGCAACGATGATATTTCGAAAAGAATAAAAATTATAGATGCTGAAAACATAGACTTAAGAAAAAGACTTTTGGATGTTTTGGAAAAATCCAAAGAAGACGCAATAGAACTGCAACGAATCGAAAAAGAACAAAAGGAGATATTTAAAATCCTTTTGGGGAAAAACAAATCTAATTTATTTGGAATTTTGCAAATACCCTGTGAAAAATTAGAGTCGCCCAAATTCTTACCTTTACCCGAAGCAAAAGAGATACTTAAAAAATACATTTTTAACCATATAAGGAAGTCCAGATGCTCGTCTGTTAGAAGTTTCGGTTCAAAAAATACAACTGATGATGAAAGCGATTTTAAGAGTGTCGCTTCAGATACTGATAATGAGGATCAATGCGCAGGAGATAGTAAAATATCGGATCGAACTTCACTTTTGGATCAAATCCAGAATTTTCTTGGACCTGCTTCCACCAACTTAAACGATGAATATTGGAGAGCTCATAGAACAATTTTGGAGGGAACGGCTCGCGTTATCGCCACAATGGGGTATTTACAAAGTAAAAAATAAATGTGATTGAATTGTGCTTGTCTATTCTATAAATATATGTTTATGAAATGCGTAGCGTTACTTTGTCAAAATATAACCACAAACATCACTGTAACACAAGCGTCATAGATTGTCATCCACAATGTAAATTTTTGGTAAGAATTATAACATGTCTGCACCGGAAGAAATATTCGAAAGAAGAGCCTTACAACTGACCAAACAAAATGAGAATTTCAAGAGATTGCTGACTTTAACGAAAGAAATTAAGAAGAAGAAATCTATGGGCTTGACTCGTTTATGTGACGAATCAAAGTTTATCAAGCAAACTTTACTGTTTTTGGACCACGAAAAGGAGAAAATTAACAATGAAAATAATCGTTATAAAATTTTGTGAAAACTATTTAATAAATGTCAGAACTTATACCTTCACATAGTGGCAAAATCGCTTCAGCTACAAAATGCCAATTTTAAACGACTTTTAGAGTTAGCTCAAAAATTCACAATGAAAAACTCCGATTGTATAACGCAATTACAGGATGAATCTAAATTTATTCAGCAAGTCATATTGTTTTTGGACTATGAAAAAGAGCACATACAAAGAGAAAACAACTTAATGAGCGATGAAATATTTTCCATCGAAGAAAATAATAACAACGATGATATTTCGAAGAGAATAAAAATTATAGACGCTGAAAACATAGACTTAAGAAAAAGACTTTTGGATGTTTTGGAAAAATTCAAAGAAGACGCAATAGAACTGCAACGAATCGAAAAAAAAGGAGATATTTAAAACAAACTGGCTATTTATACGTCCGACGTATACAAAATTTGGTATACGTCTTGTGCTTTCATTGGCTAGTTTATTATTAGCGAATTATTCAATAAGCTCGGTAGCTCCGATGGAAGAGCGCCCGCTTTGTATGCGAGAGATACCAGGTTCGATTCTTGGCGCCAACAACTTTTTTTTTTATTTTTATTTATATAGCGAAAAGGATTATTATTTAATTTTACATTAATATTCATTTTGCTACAGTTATATAATATAATATGTAATTATATGAATATTCCTTCGTTGAAAAATTGGGCGGGGGGGGCCAATGGGGCGGGGTCGGTTGGGTTGGGTTGTTGAGTTTGGGTTGGTTTGGGTTGGTTTCGCTCACTTTTGCCCATTTAAGTTGATTGACAGTGAGCGAAACCAACCCAAACTCAACAATGAAAGCTCAAGACGTATACCAAATTTTGTATACGTCGGACGTATAAATAGCCACTTCGTATTTAAAATCCTTTTGGGGAAAAACAAATCCAATTTATTTGGAATTTTGCAAATACCCTGTGAAAAATTAGAGTCGCCCAAATTCTTACATTTACCCGAAGCAAAAGAAATACTTATAAAATACATTTTTAACCACATAAGGAAGTCCAGATGCTCGTCTGTTAGAAGTTTCGGTTCAAAAAATACAACTGATGATGAAAGCGATTTTAAGAGTGTCGCATCAGATACTGATAATGAGGATCAATGCGCAGGAGATAGTAAAATATCGGATCGAACTTCACTTTTGGATCAAATCCAGAACTTTCTTGGACCTGCTTCCACCAACTTAAACGATGAATATTGGAGAGCTCATAGAACAATTTTGGAGGGAACGGCTCGCGTTATCGCCACAATGGGGTATTTACAAAGTAAAAAATAAATGTGATTGAATTGTGCTTGTCTATTCTATAAATATATGTTTATGAAATGCGTAGCGTTACTTTGTCAAAATATAACCACAAACATCACTGTAACATAAGCGTCATAGATTGTCATCCACAATGTAAATTTTTGTTAAGAATTATAACATGTCTGCACCGGAAGAAATATTCGAAAGAAGAGCCTTACAACTGACCAAACAAAATGAGAATTTCAAGAGATTGCTGACTTTAACGAAAGAAATTGAGAAGAAGAAATCTATGGGGTTGACTCGTTTATGCGACGAATCAAAGTTTATCAAGCAAACTTTACTGTTTTTGAACCACGAAAAGAAAAAAATTGACAATGAAAATAATCGTTATAAAATTTTGTGAAAACTATTTAATAAATGTCAGAACTTATACCTTCTCATAGTGGCAAAATTAGGTCGCTTCAGCTGCAAAATGCCAATTTCAAACGACTTTTAGAGTTAGCTCAAAAATTCACAATGAAAAACTCCGATTGTATAACACAATTGCAAGATGAATCTAAATTTATTCAGCAAGCCATATTGTTTTTGGACTATGAAAAAGAGCACATACAAAGAGAAAACAACTTAATGAGCGATGAAATATTTTCCATCGAAGAAAATAATAACAACGATGATATTTCGAAAAGAATAAAAATTATAGATGCTGAAAATATAAACTTAAGAAAACGATTTTTGGATGTTTTGGAAAAATCCAAAGAAGACGCAATAGAACTGTAACGAATCGAAAAAGAACAAAAGGAGATATTTAAAATCCTTTTGGGGAAAAACAAATCTAATTTATTTGGAATTTTGCAAATACCCTGTGAAAAATTAGAGTCGCCCAAATTCTTACCTTTACCCGAAGCAAAAGAAATACTTAAAAAATACATTTTTAACCATATAAGGAAGTCCAGATGCTCGTCTGTTAGAAGTTTCGGTTCAAAAAATACAACTGATGATGAAAGCGACTTTAAGAGTGTCGCATCAGACACTGATAATGAGGACCAATGCGCAGGAGATAGTAAAATATCGGATCGAACTTCACTTTTGGATCAAATCCAGAATTTTCTTGGACCTGCTTCCACCAACTTAAACGATGAATATTGGAGAGCTCATAGAACAATCTTGGAGGGAACAGCTCGCGTTATCGCCACAATGGGGTATTTACAAAGTAAAAAATAAATGTGATTGAATTGTGCTTGTCTATTCTATAAATATATGTTTATGAAATGCGTAGCGTCAAAATATAACCACAAACATCACTGTAACATAAGCGTCATAGATTGTCATCCACAATGTAAATTTTTGGTAAGAATTATAACATGTCTGCACCGGAAGAAATATTCGAAAGAAGAGCCTTACAACTGACCAAACAAAATGAGAATTTCAAGAGATTGCTGACTTTAACGAAAGAAATTGAGAAGAAGAAATCTATGGGGTTGACTCGTCTATGTGACGAATCAAAGTTTATCAAGCAAACTTTACTGTTTTTGGACCACGAAAAGGAGAAAATTAACAATGAAAAGGCCGTTTCTATACCGCCGATGACAAAAAACTTTTTGCAGAATCTTATAGACAAAATACCGCAGAGCGATATATCCAGGAAAATCCAAACATTAGAGGCCGAAAACATCGAGATGAGAAGAAAGTTGATTTTATTGTTGGAAAAGCAAAAACACGACTCCATGTTAATAAGCGATCTAAGAAGAGACCAAGAAATTCTGCGAAATATATTATTGGAACCCGCAAAGACTAACTTCATAGGCATTCTTCAAGTACCAGGAGAGAACATTCGAGTACCAAAGTTAATAAACATTGAAGACGCCAAGGCGAAAATCAAGAAATACTTGATAAGTAGAGTGGCAGCGAAAAAAATACAAAACAATTTCAACGAGGGTCCGCCAGTGAAGTTAACCTACGAAAATATAAAACCTCTTTTGGATCCACAACCGGCTTTCCATGAAATCGAGTATCAGATCAACTTAATCAAGAAACAAGTTGAAAACGAGTACCACGTGGCCCTAAGTAATGGAGTCTCATCGGAAATACCGGAAGCTTCGATAATTTTGGAGTTGGAGAAAGAGAGGACGAGTCTACTTGATCAGTTGCAGCAAATTCTGGAGGAATCTACGAAGCAAATAGCTGAAGAATACTGCAAACTGCAGGATAAAATAACTTATCTGGAAAAGGAGAAAGATCAGCTGCAAATCGAGGTGGACACTGTTTT